TTTTTTATAGCGGGTTTTGCTGATTTCATGTACAAACGGAATGTGTAGATCGTTATGAATACTGTAATTTGAAACGTAAAAACGAGCATTTGACGGAAAATTTTAGATTGGGTTGATTTGAGACGTTAGGAAGTACAATTCTTAAAAAAAAATTCGAAAGTTTGTTTTCGATCGTGAGTCAAGTAGTCTTTGTAATAATTTGTAACGTCGGTTTGTTTGCTGTCTTTTCAGTTTTGTGTGGCGATTCCATGTCAATCGTTTATCCATGAAAAATCCAAGATAACACACAAGGTCAGTGGAAATGGAATTCCATTTATACTCACTGCAGGACAGATATTTTTACCTAAGATAAAATTTAAGTATACGATTTTCTTAAGGTTTATCTTCATTCTCCACTTTGTTAACCATGCTGTTAATTCGTTCAAGTGTTGTTATAAGTGTTGAGGTTATTTGAGGTATCCGAATTAGGTTTAAGAATCGGTGTATCATGGCGAATGTATATGTTGAAGTGTTAACATGTGTAGGAATTTCTGCAGTGTATATAGAAAATAGAAATGGGCCAAGCATGCTTCCCTGAGGAACACCCGCCCTAATGTGGTTAAGGTGAGAATTCAGTTCCATGGCGGACTCGGCAAAATCGGTCCGTCAGATAAGATCTCAGTATGAGATAGTAAGTATGAAGTAGGATGCAAGCCTGAATGCCAAAGTTGATCGAAGGCCTTTTTAAATAAAAAAAAAAAAATAAATAAAAAAATAAAAAATCCCCAAGCAATGCTGTTTTTGTTCTAGGGAAGAGGCATTCAAATCACTAAGTAAAAAATTGCGTTGAAATAGCTAAAAATCTTTTTCTTTTTTCCTCTTCTATATTTTGGATACGTGCATAAATATATTTGAAATTCGGTCTTTTCCGATCATTTTGTTCTGGAGGAGGAGGAAATTAACCTATCATTCTTGTTTAGACCTCATTTTGCGGAAAGTATTAGGAAATGCGGGTCTGCCTGGTCTCGCTGATCAACCGAATATGTTGTCTTATCATCCAAGGACGGATGAAACGAATATAAAAAGAACCAAACTATAAAGAGAGAAAGGTAAAGCGAGATAGATGAAAAAAGTGAAGATTCCAAAGTTTAATAACTTTGGATTAGTTTGTCTAATGTATGTCTGTTGGCTTTTCACCATTTTGAGCGATAGCGATTTTTACAATTTCATTCTTGACCAAACTCTGTTTATGAAGTACACGCTCGATATGAAAATAAAAGGTATTTAAATAACATATCCTCTTCCAAGATATCTTCTTCAGATAAGATAAATGGGGAATGCTTTAAACATATTGGTCTCTCCCAAGATGGAATTGGTGCGAGATGGGAGCGTGGATTCTGAGCAAAAAGGGCGACCGTTATCGGCTCCGATCCACAAGTAGATTTGGTTGAAAAATGGTGGTTCCGTTTTCCTTTGATGGCCCGAATAGTGTAATATTGTTAGAGCCCGCTTTTCTTTGAGTCCTTTCTATTCGTTAGTAACATTTTCCGACTTGACAAATCGTACGAGTCAGACTGATTTACAAGAAAAACACAATCGCTAGAATCCCTTTATTCTCTTTCCAGAGCATTTGATGTTTGTTTTTTTCGCTTCAGAGGCGAAAGGCGCACTACAAAAGATAAAGTATCAAAAAATGACTTTGATATTTGATGAGCATAGAAAAGAAATTGTTAAACTGAAACGAGGATCTAACCTTCTTTACTGCACAGATTCCTAGAATAAAACTCACAACTTAAGAAAAAATGTAATAAAATACTTTAATTACAAATAAATACGAGAAAAAATCAGAAAAACCATCCAATGACTAGGTTTTTGTACATTAAGCCCTCATTAAAATGTTAATTTTTGTAAACCTGAGTGGGGAACTATTGTTATTCTTTTAACCCATTCCCAATATGATTAAAGGTTTTCTCTAACTTTGCATTCTGTTATATCAATATTTTGTTTTTCTTATTGACAATTATTATTCAGAAATCGTGAGATGCGGTCTGGTGTGATGTAGGTTTCAGAAAAACATTTTCTTTATCGTGCCAACGTTTCGATCTTTATTGAGATCAACTTCAGGGCTCAAAGTGTTTGTCTTCTGTGTAATTGTGCCATTCTTGCGTGTCGTGTTGAGGAATGTTTTTCTGAAACCTACATCACACCAGACCGCTTCGCACGATTTCTGAATAATTATCGATTAACGGTCACTAATCACCACACATTTCTTATTTACATTATATGCAATAAATGAATTACTTGTTCACTAGTTTTCGTGGTCCGCTTGACCAACTAATATCTTTCAATTAAGTAAGGTTTTTAGTGGAGATTAAAAAAAGTCAGTGTCAGAAGCGGATTCGAACCCACGATCTTCGGCTAAATACGCCGCTACTCTGGCAAAAAAGAAGGAAATTCAAAAGGTGGGGTTGAGATGGGAAGTTAGTGTCCGAGTGGATCGAGGTCACGATAGCTCAAGTGGTAGAGCAGTGGCGTATCTAGTCGAAGATTGGGGGTTCGAATCCCGCTCGTGACACTGAATTTTTTTATCTCAACTAAAAACCTTAATTAATTACTTATGATACGATTAACGATCAGTATAATCCCATTATATTTCGTGGTCCGATTGACCAAATAACTTCTTTCGATTAATTAATCTTTATTTAAGGTATTAGTTGAAATGAAAAGTCAGTGTCACAAGCGGGATTCGAACCCACGATCTTCGGCTAAATACGCCGCTACTCTGGCAAAAAAGAGGGAAAATTCAAAAGGTGGGGTTGGGATGGGAAGTTATTGTCCGAGTGGATCGAGGTCACGATAGCTCAAGTGGTAGAGCAGTGGCGTATCTAGTCGAAGATCGTGGGTTCGAATCCCGCTCGTGACACTGACATTTTTATCTCAACTAAATACCTTAATTAATTACTTACGATACGATTAACGATCAGTATAATCCCATTATATTTCGTGGTCCGATTGACCAAATAACTTCTTTCGATTAATTAATCTTTATGTAGGGTATTGGTTGAAATAAAAAGTTATTGTCACGAGCGGGATTCGAACCCTCGAACTTCGGCTAAATACGCCGCTGCTCTACCACTTGATCTATCGTGACTTCGTTCCACTCGGACAACAGCCTCACAACCACGAAATATAATGGATTATTACTTACAATAACTCTTTGTTTACCTTTATGGAGTGTCTAATCATTTACACTCTTTAGGGCAAAAATAAAGAAAATCAATTCTATTTCATTCAATCCAGAGCCAACTTGTCGAGAGAATTAATTGGTCCTTTAAAATGTTTTCTTCGATGAAACAATAAATATTATTACTTTTTTCTTCTTAAAGCTTGCTTTCAGTCGAGATCTCGCGCGGGCAGATGCTTTGGCCAACGATGGACGCCACGCGCTCCAGCTCTTTAGGACCTCCCCGGAAGTCTCGATCGAAGAGAAAGCAGTAATCGGCCGCAATGGACAAAAGATAGGGAGTCGTTTTTATTGCCTTTACCGCGCTACGGAAATCATTAAACGGCTGCCTAGATAGATAGTTAACTCCAAACTGTCCGTAATGGTGGAACAGTAAAACGATCGTCAGAAGGCTTCGTGAGAATAGGTTAGTCTTTAGACGTACCGCATCGGGTTGTCGACCGCTGGAGAGACATCGGTTAGACAGGCGACTACAGGCTGTTCTCTTCTTTAGACTTTAGGCCCTCATAAAAAAATCTTCCTGATAATAAATATTATTATTATTGGTTAAATTAATTAATATTTAAATTATTAATTAAATTTTAATCTATCACTAAATAATGTTCAAGTGTTTTGTTGAATTTTTTTTTCGAACAATCCTAATTAATAACTGTTATTAAAACTCCGTGATTTCTGATTCCAATTAATTTGGTTTATATTAAAACAATGTTGTCATTAATATAACGATAAAAGTACATATATATTGAAATAAACAACGAAATACGAGTTTTTTTCTCTGATTGTATAATTGTGAATAAAAAGGTATACCAATAAAAACTTAACAAATTAAGTTAAGAAAAACTTTTGTTATTTCAGTTATATTGCTGTTTCTAGTTTAATTGGTTGGATGTACCCAGTTTTTAGAACAATCTTTTTGCTTGGATCGATATTCTAAGAGTAAATAAATTTTGGATATATTGTTTCTTCATTTCTGATCGTTTTAATCTGCCTATCCTCAATTTATTTTTATCAGGATCGATACCAGAAACTGTAAATGGCAAAATACCGAGGCTGACAGACAATGATGAAACCAAAGTTCATCATTCGACAGGGCTCAAAAGGAAATCTTGCATGTTGTTTTATATTTCTTACGTATTTTTCCTATTTGTGAGGATCAGTTTGTAGATGGGAAACGGAATTTTGGAGAAAGAAGGACTCGCTCTCCGATTCTTTTGGCCTCTTACCAAATTTTTGTGATGACTCCACTTTTGATGCAGAATTACTATCATCAGTTATTCCTTCTCTCTTCTGACCACACAAAATTATTTGCAGATGCTTTTTCCATAATTGAAGGTACTGGCAAAATAATATAGACGTTTCTTCTTATAGGGAAAATTGTTGTAATTCCGATGATTTTCTCATTTTTAATAATTAATCATGTCTCTTTATTTTGTATTTTAACAGATTCCTTATATTGTATTGTAAAATGGTTTGTAAGAAATATCTAATTTTGTAATCTGCCACAATAACATTTAATGTAGCTAATTTCCTTTCAGTCTGAAAAAATTAATCACATCTGAAAAGAATAACGCTTTGTTTGGTTTCTAAAACTTATAAAGCTTCCATTCTACCGGATTTTTGTGTTTTGAACTTAAATAGGTCCATAAAACAAAGAACATAATAGCATAAAAGAGAGCCTTGCACAATTTTTAAACTTAAAAAAAACCCTGTTTTAACTTTTTAAGCACTAACCTCTGGTTGATTTGTATCAGGAGATTAATTAATGCGATTTTTTCAGATGGACGACAGACTGGCAACAAAATTGTGAAGGTACGTTTTTTCTAATTATATTCTATGTAAAATATAATATTCTATTCACTAATTTCGTGATCCGCTTGAACAATTAATATATTACAATTAATTAAGGTTTTTTGGTTGAGATAAAAAGTGAATGGCACGAGCGGGATTCGAACCCACGATCTTCGGCTAGATACGCCGCTGCTCTACCACTTGGGCTATCGTGACCTCGATCCACTCGGACACTAACTTCCCATCTCAACCCCACCTTCTGAATTTTCCCTCCTTTTTGCCATTTTTTGAATCCCGCTCGTGCCATTGACTTTTTTTTAATCTGAACCAAAAAACCGTAATCAATTGTAATATATTAATTGGTCAAACGGACCACGAAATTGGTGAATTTAATGATTTAAAATGAAGTATACTTCACTAAAGCTCTCCGTGGGCATTTTATTTGTCGCCGAGAATTCAATCCGATTACAGGACATTCGAAAAATGGCAAAAAGTAGGGAAAATTCAAAAGGTGGGGTTGAGATGGGAAGTTAGTGCCCGAGTGGATCGAAGTCACGATAGCTCTAGTGGTAGCGGCGTATCTAGCCGAAGGTCATGGGTTCGAATCCCGCTCGTGACACTGACTTTTTTATATCAACTAAAAATCTTAATTAATTGAAAGATATTAATTGGTCAAGCAGACCACGAAAACTAGTGAATATAAAAAATAAAATAAAAACATATTTATATATCACAACCTGGCACAAGCATAGAAATCTGGTCAAATCATCCACCAGCGAACTTGATATTGCTCGTGGAGGGGTTGAACCATTCTATTCTTTCTAATAACTTACTTTTACTCCCCAGACGTCACACACTCACTCCAGATTATTCGATATTCCTCGTGGCTACGTTAAACGATACCTTCCTTTCACGCTAATAAATTATATTCATTCCCATAAATTTATACACACAATACCCTTACACAAACATGCGGGGTTGAACGATCCGTTCCTTTCGCGCTAATAAATGACATTCATTCCAATAAATCACCATAAATATAACACATCACAATCATGATACAGACACGACATAAAAACTATATACATTCAAATATCTCTATAGCTTCTCAGTTTTCTGAGCAGCCCATTGTGTCAGCCATCCTTGCATAATAACTACGTATGTTTCCTGCCAGAAGGCGCCCATGCGTTACTCTTGTACGACCTATCCGTATTCTTGTCAATATGTCCTTTTGATATTATAAGCCACAATTAACTCAATTCAGATAATGAACAAGAAAGTTATTTTTAAAAATAATCCTGTGCTTCCTGCCTGGAAGGTTTGTAGTACCAACAACAATTTTATTGGCAGACGGAGTAAATAGTGAAGGTATTTTGAGATCGAAAAACAAACCGTGTCCCCTCTTTGATTAAAGCATCAACCTGAGCGAGAGACTTTATTTGATTCGAAGGTGATGTGGGTTTAACCCATTTACATATATACATATGTTTGTTTACATCGGCCCTGCCCCTATCACAGAACTGATAAAACTTAGAACGCCATCTGTTTACCCAGAGCTGTTCGTTTTGAAAAAATTGCAATACTAACAATTTGTCTCTGTTTATTTGGCGACTAGTAGCTTTTCATTTTATATAAAATATAATTTTAATTGTGAGTGATTATTTTTACATTCAAATGTTTTGTCGTACTTGTTTTAAACTGTAAATATGTCTGACAAAAAGTACGAACAGTTTGGTATATCGCGGATTTGGACCATTTTTTTTTTTTTTTTTTTTTTTTTTTTTTTTTTTTTTTTTTTTTTTTTTTTTTTTGTGGTTCTACACTCCAAAATATCGGACACGTATCCGCCACTTCATGAGGCCCTGGTTTGATTTGTAGTTGAAATTTTTTCTTCTTTTAATATTTTTATCTTGCTGTTCTACTTATTCAACACAACTAAGTGAATAAATCATTCAACAGCAATTTTTATGTAAATTGCGATAAAAATATAACAAAAACTATCAAAATTTATCATTGTCAAAAAATTTCTAAAACCAAATATTTTTCAAGTAAACTAGATCATAACATTTTTTCTCGTGAAACTAGTATGAAATTTTGTTTTAGCACTTCTAGAAACCTCTTTTTATACATTTTTGTTTGAATTTATCGATTTTTTGAACCGTAAATTTTTTTCGATTTTTAAGAAGTCGTTATCGGAATATCTGATTTAAACGGCTATAATTCCAAAGCGACTAAAAGAATTTTAACATCACACAGGGGACCGCGGTAGCCGAGTGATTAGCATGAGAGACTCTCACGCCGCGGTCGTGGGTTCGATTCCCACCGGCGCCTCTGGCCCTTTTTTCACAATAACCCCCCCAAATTTGAACACATAAATATGAATTGTCACATGGCTAATATGCATAGTTCATAACGCCAAAAAAAAAACCATACCATTTCAAAGTATGTAGCTAATCATAAAAATATATAGAAGTTTTCTATAAGAAAAACAGTTGGAATGTTTGATAGAGTTATACAATGCAACTGAAAATTTCTTTAAAACGAATTATCAACCATGAAAATCGGTCTTCTAGGTTTTAAAAAAAATCATGTTAGATCTTGCACTAGGAATGTCAGTCATGCAGAAGGTCGTCAAAATTATCAGTTAAAAAATTAATTTACCTAGATTTCCATGAAAGTTGGTATCTATTATAACGCTAGAATCACTGCTATGAGGTCAAATCCAGGTTCTGACCATTTTCTGACCTACTTTGCTTTTAGGAGTTTCTAAAGGTGCTGAAACAAAATTTCATATTAGTTTCACGCAAAACATATATATATTCTTGTCCAAAGCAACACGATTGAGTTCTTTGAACTGTTAGTCAACAAACATTCACATTAATATTCTTTATTCATGTTTACACTTTTGAATTGAGCCAGTTTATTACGAGTCTTCGTGAGAACTGTTTTGTGTCTCGGGTTAATTCATTGCAAATTTCGAAAAAAAAAACACATTCAATAACTCGTCTCAAATTTGTTATCAGGTATCATCCATTTAGTTATTTTTCTTACATATTGAAAAAATAACTAAATATTGAATATTGAAAATATTTCCTTTCCTTAATGGTTATGGTCTATTCCGTTTAATTACTGTATGAAGCCATTTTCAACATTTTTGAAAGATAAAATTATAATATATCTACAAGAAGTACTTCCTTATCAAGAAATTTCAAAAAAATATAAATCCTCTATTGGGGTAATAGCAGAACTTAAAAGATGTTCCGGAATTTCCGATAATTGTTTTAAAAAGAACAGGAGTGGTCCTAAAAAACAAATTTCTGAGGCCCAAAGGCGTTGTATCATACGGTCCATTCGATCAGGAGAGGTTGACAATGCTGTCCAAATTCAGCGTAGGCTGCGTGATGATGATAATATGGATGTCAGTGCTGAAACAATGCGGAGTCGTTTACGGGAGGCCGAATTAAGAGCGACGGGAAAAGTGAAGAAACCATTGCTGACCAAACAATGGCTTGTTGATCGTGGTTTTAATGTCATGGAATGGCACCCACAGTCACCTGACCTTAATCCAATTGAGCACTTGTGGCGGATACTAAAAAGATCTTTAGGTCAATCTGCAGGGGACGCTTCAAACTTCGATCAACTTTGGGCAAAAACAAGTTAAATGGGGCCTAATTGATTCAGAACAGTGCAGAAATCTCGTGAGAAGTATGTCCAGAAGGTATGATGCAGTTTTAAAGCCAAAGGAGGTCATACAAATATTAAAGGACTTTCTATGTCTATATTATCGTTTACACACGGTAATTTCTTTTATATTATTTTAGTAATCATGATAAAGGATCAAGTTTACTTTTTTTGTGTTAAGATAAATAAAACTATTTAAAAAACTACGTTTATTTGATTTCCTACAATTGTTTTGTAAAGTATGTAATGAAATAACACAATTTGTATGAGCTGATTTGAAGGAATCTGTGAGTTACTGTATTTTGCTTACATAATGTGTATTAAAATTTGCAAAAAATCAGTATTTTGTTTATTTATCTTTTAAATCATACCAAATTAGATTATTCTATGCCATAGAACATTTTTGTTTTTATCTTAAACAACAACGAAATTAAAACGCCAAAAATAATTTTTTCCTCTCTAAATAACGATTTATGATCAGTTAATTGCGACAAAAATTAGATTTTGAAAAAAGCTTCATTAACCCGATGACTGAGTTTTCTTCTCTGGCAACAAAGTCGGTATCTAAGACGCTAGAATCTTAACAATGAGATCAAATCCAAATTTCTCCATTTTCTGAAGAATTCCGCATGAATATTTTTTCACTCGTGGATATAAATATCCCTTACCATGCATGTTTTTAAAATAAGGCAATTAATAAAAATACACATATATTTTAAAGGAGTTTTAAAGGTAGTTTTTTAAATGATTTAGAAACAGAAAATTAAGTCATATGTCAAAAGGAAAGAAGTGTTTATTCAATAATTATTAGATATTTATGAATTTTACATAATATTTTAGAATAGGCTAAGCCCGCACAACATCTGTGTAATGCCGAACTGTTGGTCCTTTTTAATTATTTTTTGAATATGTTTTTAACTTATTATATTTGTACCCTTAGTTACTGTACATTTTACAAATGTGATCACAAACCGTTTTTTCACACGATCACAGCACTAACACTAATGCCAGCGCTTCACCTGTAAGACACATGTGAGGGGTTAACGGGCAAGGAAGTTTCGAGGCCGTTGTCGACGTGGGTGGGAATGTGTAGACAGAATCAGAACAGAATCGAGAGGTTAGGGTGAAACATTTCGAATCGAGAATGAATCAGTTCGCTTACAAAAGAAATGTATAGTGGTTAGTGCGGTTAGTGACGTAGTTAGGAGGTTTGACGAATTGTCTGAAGGCTTTTGGCTGGTCGAATTAGATGCGGTGGATGTTGGATGGCTTGGCAGAACCCCACTCCGTATATCTAAAGTGGTCGCAGTCTAGACTAGTATAATGTTAGTTTAGTGTTG